CTTAGTTTTAACTAAGCACGATGTATGAAACAAACCATTGCAATAAACCATGTTTTTAAGTTAGAATTACACATGAATCAGGACAATATGTCTTATTCAATAAACCACAGCAAAACCTAATAATAGCTTAGTATATTAAATGAACCCAGTAGCGTCACTGCTATTATTCTGCAAAGATAGCAAGTAATTAATGCATGACATTCAAGGAGGAGGATGTGATATACTCAGTCACTCCATAACTTTTTCTAGTTTCTTAATACCATCAACAGGCATTTCAAACAGAGATCTCCTATTTATATCTGAAGATGTTAAGAATTGAATCTAGATCTTTCTGCATTCTAAGCATCTACTCTTACCTTATGGCCATCTTTTAATGATTCCCTAGTTACAAAGAAGCAGCATTAGTGCTTGCTCAAAGGCAACCCATACCATTGTGCCAATCCTACATATTGATACACTATGGCTGTGTTCATATAACTTGCTTATCCTAATCACTTTCTGGATTTGCACAATCCCTAAACCAAAAACTTATTAAATGTCCATAAAAAACAAAATTAAAAGCAACCATAATTAATGTACAAATATAGTTGTTAGTAAAGTGTCAGTTAAACTTGATTAAGCCATGCAAATATTTTTCTTCAACTCAAATAACAATGATGTTCTTTCTAACTTAAGAGTAAGAAAACTTAACTCTAACTTTAATAGAAAAAAATCTATTCGGTCTAAAGAGATTATGGATTTAAGAGCAACAGGTTTCTCATGTAAGCTTGAGGTCCTTTTTTCCTTCCACATTCATTTACCTGCAGTCCTCTGCATGAAAAGAGATCATATTCATAGATTTGCAATAACGAAGCACAGTGAACTTCATAGTGATACTCAGGAAACTGGACACATCATCAGGACAAAGTTAACAAGGCAACTTCAGGGTTGAAGCCACTTTCCGTCATTGAAAATCAGCACTTCCTGAAGTGTCAGAATGCCTCCTCCTCAAGCCATTTAACTAACAAAGCAAACTAGAAACCGGCAAGGTAGGTAACATCTAATCTAAACTTACCTTGCCTGCACAGAAGTTTCTATCAAATAGTGGCAAAAGCTATAGAGGTACCACTTTAAAAAAATCAAAACAAAACTCCACTTCGAGAGAAAAGTGTTGCATTTATACAAATTCTACTCCTGGCACTCGGAAAGCTGTTAAAAAGTGGGCAGGTCTGATTTTAGTTCTGTAAGTTGTTCCTTGTACCAGCCCCGTTTCAGCTCCTCCCATCAAGGAAACAAATCTACAGTCTGTGAAGCACACAGATTACTGTCGAGGCTTTTTTCTGTCTCTTGCACAGGTTACCGGAATATGCATAAGATTGAACCGATTCAGAGGGAAATTTCTCTTCTGCTCCTTTCCTAAGAACTGCATTGAGTTAATGCAGCATCTCCTGGGAGCGATTTGAAAGCTGCATGTGTGATAATGTTGCTAATAATTCCATCCAAAGTTGATCAACTGTACTTTGATGCAAGAGAAGAACCCAATCTACATTCCTAGGCATAACCTCATCATCAGATTTCTCTTTAACCCTTTTGCCATGATGCACATACATGCCAGTCCCGCACCTCTGGAAAAACAAACATCTTGAGTTTTCCCCTGAAAGTGATCAACTGTAATAAGATGCCATTTGATGTGTCTGTCCTCCACCTTTCCATTTGAATAGAATCCGATGCACATCTACTTAAATGTAATTACTATCAAGTTCAAAGGGAAGCCCATTGTGTACATAGTATGTGTACATAGGATTGCAGTCTACAAGCACCACCCAGATTTACCCAGAAATTAAGGACTCATTAAATAAAATTTGCTTTCAAATAAAAGATGGATTACATAATAAAAAAGTATCATTCTAAACATAGGACTACATCAGTTCTGAATAAGGCTAACAGTGGTTCTTAGGGTATTTGAATCAATTACTCTTTTTCTTGGTCTGGAATAAAGTCATTACTCCCCCACCCACTCGCACCCAAAGCAGACTGTTGTTTTACATAAGCGTCTTGGTAGTGGTAATCCCAAACTAGCTCCTCAACTCACAGCAAGGTGACCCCTAGGATATGCCCAAATATCCCCTTTGGGGATAATTCCCCATTTCGCCAGTTTTAAGAACCACTAGGTTTCACAATTGGGAAAATCCTGCACATATAAAGGCTTATTTAGGGAAAAGGTACCTTAACATTATTTTACTACTATGTAGTTTTTAGGTCAGAAATATTTCAAACTTGTGATCTTCTATACACAGAACATCTTCTGAAAAAATGCAGCCCTCCCTCCAACATTTGGATTTCAGAATGTGTTATACGTAATCCTCAACTCACAACCACAATTGAGCCCAACATTTCTGTTGCTGAGATGTTAAGTGAGTTTCTTGCCACAGTTGTTAAGTGAATCATTGTAGTTGTTAAGTTAGTAACACGGTTGCTAAATGCATCTGACTTCCCCATTGACTTTGCTTTTCAGAAGGTCACCAAAGGTAACCACATGATCTCAGGATACTGCAAGTGTCATAAATATAAACCGGTTGTCAAACCAGTTAAATTTTGATCATGTAAACATGGGGATGCAGCAATGGCCTTAAGAGTGAAAAACAGTCATAAGTCACTTTTTTTCTGTGCCATTGTAAATTTGAACAGTCACTAAATGAACTGTTGTAAGTTGAGAACTACCTATACTTAATTGCAATTGTTAATATGACAGAAGAGGAATGTTATTAAAACATAACAAAAGTAACTATAGTAACTATATTTAACTTTAATTACAGATAAATATAAAATGTATGTTGGGTTTTGATCTGGCTCCATCCATTACTTCTTTTGAAGTTCTATCTCACCTAACCCAGAATAAGCTCTTCACTCATAATTGTAGGTTGAAATAATACATCTGATGGAAGCAAGGCCATGCAATATTTCTGAATTTGGAGTTTAGGATCAGGTGAAAATTTAGTCTAAGGATGCAAGCAGAGAAGGATAGAAAAGCTGCTTGTTTTTTGATGAGTGGTTTTGGAATTTCTCCAGCTAAAAGCACTCTAAATCAGCCCAAGATGATCTACATAAAAGTGATTAAAATCTACATCAACCAGTCTGTGCAGAGATATATGTATATAAACGATTAAGAGCCGATGATAGATGTAAATACATACAAAAACATCAAATTATCCATTATGCTTTCCCTTTTCTTGAACATAGGTTATTCCTTGCAGAACTCAGTCAAATTGTTAAATCAAGATAAGGTTCAAAGTTTTCATACTAAAACACATCGAAGTAAGGAAAGTTCTCAAACAGATGTCCAATATTTTTAAAATAAATTTCATTTGCCCATGTTTTGTCAGATGTTAATTTGACAATAAATAAAAAAATATGTGGAAATTTAAAGTGCCACTCATCATCCTACCACTTCCATATTTTGCCATGATTAGAGAGATTTTAAGTTTGGGCATTATGTCTAACTCAAAATATTTTTTAAATAAATACTCAGGCCAATTTCATTTATTTCTAAAGTACACCAAATTTACAATCTCTGCCGCTCATATTTATGCATAGATTATAGAGTTTCAATTTTAAAATAATTATTATGTAAGAGAAAAAAATATTTTTTTAAAAAAATAAAAGCTGTGAAATATCAGTGCAAATAACCATTGTATAAATACAAATGTTAAGGCAACAGTTTCAAAGATATCTTACTGGTACTGTATTACTGATACTGGTACTGTTAGATTACAGCATCCAAAATAAGTCAAGATCTATATGAACTCTAACTGTAAACTCTTAATTAAATATAAATCAAACGTTTTAATAATTTTTTTAATTGACAATATGGAGTCTTGGATGTGTGAGGAATTAACTGAGATGTTTAAAAACATGTGTGAATCACTAAAGGGTAATAAAAAGTCAGAAATTTTACTGGAACATATAGAACAGGTAAAAGAGAGCATAAATGAGGAGCAAGAAAATAATATTGAAGGAAAAGGAATTGAAAGCAAAAAGCAGTTAGATGATTTCGCTAAGATTAACAGTGGCAAAAAAAGAGTGGAATATTCCCCCAAAAAGAATCAATCAAAGGGAAAAGAAGGAAAGAGTGGAAAGAGATTAGGAGAAAACTTGGGGAGAATCGAGTAATATATTTAAAAGTGAGAAAAAGGATTCAGGAGAAAAGATATAATATAAAAAGAAAAAAAAGAAAAAGAAGAAGTTAAAAGAATGGGATAAAAGGAGGAAATTATTAAGAAGTGGAATTTTGGAGAGACCAAGAGAAAATGGTTAAAGAGAGGAAGAATAGTGGAAAAGAGGAAGGGAAATAAGCTATATATTAGTTGATTTAAGGGAACTGTATTAATAATATTAATTGTGGATGGTCAATTAAGTTAAAGGGTTTTTAATGTAAGAAGTGAATATGATGATGTATATTGCTTATAGCAAAACAGAATAGCAAATGAAATATGAAATGGTAATGGGGTTTAATTATGAAGACAAGTTAAATTAAGAGACAAAATTGAAATGTTAAAAAGTGGGATAGGGATTTTGAGAAACATATTTTGCAAATGGAGAAATAAGATAATTAATTGAAGTTATTGTAAGAAATTAGGAGTTAAAGGGTGGATAGTGATACTGTTTATGTATTATGTATTAAGAAGAGATTAAGATAAGATAAAGAAATATGGAAAAAGAATATTATGGCCAAAATTGGAAATATGTAAAAGGTACCTGGGGGGAAAAAAAGAGATGAAATAACAAGTTACGATGAAAAATGATGAATTTATGATAAAGAATTATATAAAAGGGATGAATTTGGAAAAAGTGGGAAGATTGGAATAGATTATTAAAATTAAGATATATAAGATGTATAAGATGTGACCCGGTCAACACTCTGTTCAAAAAATACGTATGATGAAAGAAAAATGTTAATAAAACTTGTTTACAACAAAACAAGTCAAGACCTCAGATATTTCCCAGCTATAATAAGAACTTACCTTCTCCAACAATGCATTTTGCCATAATCTAAATATATTGAGGTAGGTTCGGTCTCTGGCACTGAAGGAAGTGAAGAAAAACTGCAGAACAAAATGGTAATTTGCATGAAAAGTATTGAAAGCAATCTACAAGTCAGTCAACCCTATTTCAAATAAAAAGATATTAAGTCAGAGCCAATTGATTTTTAGAAGTGTCTAAGAAGGACTAAATTATACAGTCTTCAGCCATTCATCATCCTATACATATTTACTTAGATAAAAGTTTCATTACGTTCAGTCCGGCTTACTATTATTTATTCAATCTGTTTGTTTGCCTTCCTGGTTACAGAGTATTTACTTCCAAGTAAACGGGTATACTCCAAATTTATATTCACACTACCATAAAATTAAGTTTCAATAAACTTAATGGGTTCATGGGTATATAAAAGAGATATAGTCTTTTATGTAGACAGATAGACTGACAGACAGACGGACAGGACAGGACAGGACAGGACAGGACAGGACAGGACAGACAGACAGACAGACAGACAGACAGATATAGATATAGATATAGATATAGATATAGATATAGATATAGATAAGTTCTAAGATCATTTGCAATTATTACTATTATTATTAACCAATTTATTTGCGGCCCATTGCACAGCAATGCTAAATAATAGTATTTAAAATTCAAAACTTTCCTTTCCAAGTACAACATAATAAAGCATTTTTGGCTCTTATATCCCCATGCCCATTCACATATTCTACAGTAAAAGCCTAGATACATTCCTGATTGACAGAGGAAGAGCCTTAACACAAAGTACGCATTGATACATTCCCAAACATTACTTTATCCTTCCTCCTTTTATTTTCCCCAAAGCAACAACCCTCTTAGATGGGTTGAGCTGAGAGAGAGAGACTGGCCCAAGGTCACCCAGCTGACTTTCATGCCTAAATCAGGACTCGAATTCACAGTCTCCTGCTTTCTTAACAGCACACCAAACTGGTTGTCTTTAGTTTAGTTTGGGACAATCTTCTTTAGACTCCTAGACATATAGACTAGAACATCCTTCATCAGACATATACCAGTAGTACAGGTAGTCCTCGACTTACAGCAGTTCATTTAGTGACTGTTCAAAGTTACAATGGTTACAAACTGAAAAAAGTGACTTATGTTATGACCAATTTCACACTTATGACTGTTGCAGCATCCCCATAGTCATGTGATCAAAATTCAGATGCTTGGCAACTGGCTCTCATTTATGACGGTTGCAATATCCCGGAATCATGTAGATCACCTTTTGAAACCTTCTGACAAGCAAAGTCAATGGGGAAGCCAGATTCACTTAACCACCATGCTACTAACTTAACATCTGCAGTGATTCACTTATCAACTGTGGTAAGAAAAGTGGTAAAATGAAGCAAAATTCACTTAACAACCATCTCACTTAGCAACAGAAAGGTTGAGCTCAATTGTGGTGATAAGTCGGGGACTACCTATAATGGCCATGTCAAATTAGTGTAATGGGAACTGTAAATCTATAACTTTGGAGGCATGATGAGAAAAAAAAAGATTTGGTGTAGTGGTTAAGTCAGGTGACCATGATTGTAGTTCAGCTTTAGGCACAAAGACAGCTGGGATACCTTTGGCAACCCAGCCCAAAGAAGGAGACAATAGCAAGCTACTTCTGAAAATGTTGCAAGAAAACTTCACAGACTAGTCTAGGCAGTCACTAGGAATCAACACTGACTCAAAGGCACATGCATACACACACTCAGAAGAAAAGCTAACTAACAAGAAAGACTGGCTTTGTAAGGAAGGAAGGGACGGAGGGAGGGAGGGAGGGAGGGAGGGAGGGAGGAAGGAAGGAATTGGCTGCCTCAAGAAATGTCTCCATTAAACAGAGGTACAAGTAAGAATACTGTACCTTCTCCCCTTCTGTAGCAATTTGGATAGCATTTGGAATAAGCCGAGCCGTCTTCTCTTTTGTCATGAAGGTTATGTCCTTCAAAGCGATAGAAATCTGAAATTTGAAATACACATAAAATAAGGCATCTAAAAGCTAAGGCTGAAACTACAGAAACAAAATACTAAAATGACTATAATTAAAGCAATAGTTTTCACATGATTTCATTTAATTCAGCATTACTACTCATATCAAAACCATTCCTTTAAAAATAATTGAAGGAGTAGAGTTAAAAACAACCTAAACAGATTGTGTTTCTTTTTTTTTCCTTATGAAAAGTGTACAAACTAAGATAGAAATCTTATCATAAAATGCAAACTTAAAATTCTTAGTGTGAAAATATACTATCTGTACCAATATTGTCAGTAAAGTGTATGAATGTGTATAGGTATTTATGTGTACATAAAAATATACACAATGTATTTTGGACACACACATTTCTTAAAGCACACATGCCTTACCATAGTTTCCCATCTGAAGATGTTACTGTAGAAACAGATCCAGTTTTCAGACAGATATAAGCGTCCTTGAAGAAGGATATCTTTTTGGAGGGCACAGGCATAATCTAAAGAAAAGCATTACGTTTTTATAACATTTTAAAAGTGTAGCCAAGCAATTAAGTTCATCAATAATATTTTTATTCATTATTTATTTGTTGACTATTTTGTTAACTGATAAAATCATTCCTACATTACCTATATTTTATTTTGAACAGCTTCAAATACAGATCCCTGATCTTTACATGCATCTTAAAACAGACCTTGATGTTAGCTTAAAGTCAAGATTGCCTAGAGACAAAACTAATTTTGAATGGAGAGCCTATTATGGGCGCAAACTCATTGGATATTATTATAATGTGCAATCTTCTCTCTCATATAACTAAGTTCAGGAGAAACTAGATTTTTTTTAAAGCAAATGATGAGTTTGTACTATAATTGACAATAATAATTCCAAAAAAGTGACTTCACTTAAATTTCTTACTCCTTCCTAACTAAGTTTGTTAAATGATTTAATTTTCTCACCTTCTATCAGCTATGGCACTCTTAGACATGTGAGTCTAAATTATTATCAAAAGTAATAAACTAAGCTTTAGAGTTAAATTACCCCTCAAGAAAGCTCCCTAAATTTAACTATTATATTAATTTCAAGCACCTTTTCTCAGCTATATTAGAAAATACCATAAATATTAAGTAAGAGAGTTTTTAATTACAACTTTCAGCTTCTAAATTTTTGCTGTGTTATTGTTTGAGAAAATTAGTACTGTGAAACATGATTCAAAGGATAAAGCCAAAAGATTGAAATACATGGAATAAGACAAAGATGCACACCTGCTTGCATAATTTAATTACAGTATTTATATGAAATGGTTGCAGATGTAGTGGCTGGGAACATGAGTGTGTGCATACTTTTGGATGCAAAAATATCATGTTGATTGAGATTTGGAATGGTTTGCAGTCAGTGATTATATCATATATTTAGGAGCATAAATCTATCAAAAACCAAAGTAGTTGTGTTTGACAGGGAAACGGAATGGATAACTGCAAATTACATATAAATGGTGAAAAAACCAAGCAAGTAAATGAATGCATGTTTCTGAGAATATTTATTAAAGATGGAGAAATGCAAATGCTGTAGAAGCAGCATTAAAGGAAAACATTGGTCTACATTGCTGGGAATGTAATGGGAATGAGTTGCTGTGTAAAACAAAAAGAGAAAGAGAGAAAAGAGAAAGACTCTAGAATGAATTTGCACTGGATTGAATACAAATATGAGTAAACCATATGAAAACAATTCAAATAGTTTAGTTACATAGAGAAAATGAATGTGAGTCAAGTTATGAAACAAACGCATCAAGGAAGAATGATATACAGTACTAAGGTCAAGATAAAGAGAAAGATTTGGAAATTCATGATTGGATAGTGATGAAAAAAGAAAGATCAGCATCTTAAAGAAAATACAGCATGTGAAGCAATGTATAGATATGGTGGTTTTCAAGGGTGGAAAGATATGGAAAAGTATAATGAATAGTGTTGGTTTAGATTAGATGTATTCTTTCTTTTTTCTTATCTCATATTTTTAATTTCTTTGGTTACTACCTCCTATTTGTTTTGTACATGTTGCACAATGTCTTTAACCCAAAAGGGAACAGCATGATGAAAGTGTGTGTGTGTGTATATGTATCTCTTATGGTAGGCAGAATCTGTGTTTGGCTTCTACATTTTAAAAGTTCTAAAGTGGCATGTTAATCCAACTGTGTTAGTATTGCTAGTTAAAAAATATCAGCTATAAAAGAATGTTTTCGGATACTATATTTGACATACTATAGTTACTGTTATAAATAAAACAGGACACCAAACCAGTGGTGGGTTTCAAAATTTTTTACTACCGGTTCTGTGGGTGTGGCTTGGTGAGCATGGCATGGCTTGGTGGGCGTGGCTTGGTGGGCGTGTAAGGGGAAGGATACTATAAAATCACCATTCCCTCCCCAATCCAGGGGAAGGTTACTGTAAAATCCCCATTTCCTCCCGATCAGCTGGGACCTGGGAGGCAGAGAATAGATGGGGTCGGGGCCAGTCAGAATTTTTACTACTGGTTCTCCGAACTACTCAAAATTTCCGCTACCGGTTCTCCAGAACTAGTCAGAACCTGCTGAAACCCACCTCTGCATCAAACCTATTGTGAGTTTTAAGATTCAGAGTCAGAGTTTTAACAAGTTGTGGGTCCAGAATCATAACCCCTGTCTCCTTTTACCTGGGAGCTACACAGGTTTCATATTCTTTCTATGCTATAAGAGTCTCTATCAAAAAAGAAATTACTTCTGACCATTACACAAGTGTTACGAGGAAGGACTGACTTCAGGGAGTCCTGAATTTTTCTTCTTGTTTCTAAAATGGCCACAGCTCTTTTTGTTCTTGAAAATACTCCAGAAACATGAAAATACCGTAAATATTTACAAGTGCTAAGGAATTTCAGAATATATTTCTTTCTTTTTTAAAAAAAATGACCTGCAATAACCTCAGACTTTGCATTACATGTTAAATGGCTAATGAGCATGGCTGTGAAACTAATTCGGATTCACAACACTCCAGACTGTCTGCTGTGTCTGGCAGGCTGCATACATTCTCAAAACATATTCACTTATCTCAAATGTAGAATTTACATCATCCGAAGGGAGAGTGATATGCTTTGAATCATGTTTAAAGTCAGATTATATGAGTCTTTTTAACAAAAGGAATTCAAGTTGGGGTTTGTTTTTGTTTTAAAAACAAAAGAAACTCTGAACCCAAGGCTGAACATCATGGAATTCAACATTTCTCCACAGCCATAGAATTAGCTGATTGGCATTTGTAAGGGAGGAAGGGAAAACTAGATACAGTGGAACCAGGGATACAACTGTTTCAAGAGTTATTTTTAAAGAAATATAGAAAGATTTGGTTAGGAATCTGCAATTAATCATTTGATTTATTTTGATTGTATCCACCCTAATTAATCTTTTATTGACTTTTGTCTTTCCATCTCTATATTAATTGGTGGATAGACTACAGAGTATTATATTTTGAATTATGTTAATGAATATAGCTTTACAGACTTTAATAATTTTTCCTTGATAAACTGTAATTCTGTAAAATCTGAAATCAAACAATAAGCAGGTTGCAGTAGACTAGCACCATCATGTGGTCTTTGAATAACATTGCATATTATTTTAAATTTTGTGTGTTCTAAGTTAACAAGTTGTTGCCTCTCTGTGAATTAATCAGACCAGAAATGGTTTTTTTCCCCTTAATTTTGAATATCTGAATTATGATATTTATAAATAAGACATTTACATAATTGACTTTTTCTATTTCTTTTGATAATGGTTGATTTTTGTTGATTTTCTCTCTTGTAACATTGGATCATCTACCATATCTGGGGAAGAAATGGGCTAATATCCTTCTTTCATGCCTCAATTCTACAGGGTCAGAGGCAGAACTGTATAATTTCTTTTCCTTTTTAATTATAGTTCATATTAAAAAATATTTACATGTCAGGTCCAAAACCAAGAATGATACATGGTGATTCTTCCAAGCAGAGTTCAGAGTGACTATTCCACTATGTGCAGCTACAATATAATCTGTGATTATTGAGGGAGTGGAGCTATCTTCACCTTCTTTATCTCACACATAATACCTGGACTGAGTTGCCTCTTACTCCTCTGGAATGCATCCCCCGCCTCCTGAGAATCACCTCCTTATTTCATTCCATCACATTACCTAAAATTTGTATTGGAAAGTTCAATTATATTTTACTGCCCTTCTACTGAATAATGTCATTTTTCTTACCTACTACGAGCCTTTCCAAATCAGGCAGGTGGGCAAATTGTTTCTTGAATTCTTCATTCCGATATTTATAAGTAGAACTTGAGATCTGCAAAAATAATGAACTTTAAGAACAAATCCAACTTTCCTTTGATTTACTAGAGACGATGCTACATTCAGAGTACTGCCAGGAAGGGTTATAGAAATTATTTTAGACTATCAGTTTTTTTAGTTGATAATTTAGTGTTTTCTAATATCTTCTATTTTTGATTTATAGTACTGCTATTGAAAGATATAGATTTTTTTTTTCAAACATTGGTCCAGACTAAAAGACAATTAAGAGCATGTTATACATTCAAACACACATATGGAGGAAATAATCAATTTCCAATACTACAAGAAAGATTCTTTCAAATCAAAGGCTATTTTATTCTTTTAACAGACTGATTTGGCCATTTTTCTTTGTGGGAGGGGGGGGAACCCAAGGCAATATAGATAAAAATAAAACATCTGGGGAGCTAGCATTACATATGTCCATATTTGTTATATCTTAATATTCCTATTGTATCTCACCTTAATCCTTTATAGCATTGTGTCTTTTTCCACTGAACTAGATAATACAAAACTTTTTTTTTTTAAAGTGCATTTAAATAAGCATATGCTTCTTTTAAGTAAAGAATACAGGTTATCCATTCTTATCTCAAGAAAAGATTGTGGAATGTGAAGTAGCTCAAATTATGTTTTTGTTTTCTTAGAGGCATGATATGCACCTTGAGAGTAATCCACAAGTTGATTTTTCCATGCACAATCATTTTTGGTAAAGAACCCATACAGAATGGAGGGACAAGGAAATAATTTTTAACACAACTGCTCAAACAATTAAAAGGCATCTTTCTCATCCCTAACTATGAGTGTTTCCATCCACCTCAAGAACACATAAATACAATTAAAATAATGTACAATTATATTCTCCCATTTTGTTACAACCATAGCCAAACAATAATGAAACCCCCCCTCCCCATATCTGCCCTCTTCATCATTTCTTCTGATCCTAATATAGTGCTAAACTTCCACTAATCGGAGAATGGAAAAATACAAGCCTCTGCAATTCTGCTTGGAAAATAGAAAATAGCATTGGAAGGGAAATCAGTATCAAGCAAACTGTCCCTGCTCTTACAGGCTTAATCTCACTTTCCTTAAGTATCAAGCAAACTGTCCCTGTTCTCACAGGGTTAATCTCATTTTCCTTCAGATAAAAAGAAAACCACAGAATGGTTTTCCAGAAACCAGGCTAAAGAAAATTTCTCTGACCTGACTACCTCAGAAGGCTCTGCTCTCCTCTCAAATATTCCAAATTGATATGTGCCAAAAGGGACAGCAACATTCAGAAAAATCTCATGGAGCATGTAAAACAGTGGTGGGTTTTACTTACCTTTGCTACTGGTTTGCATGCGCAGAAGCTTCTGCGCATGCACAGAGCGTATTTGATGATTTCCGGGCAGGTGGGCAGAGCCTCCCACCGCTGCTACTACCGGTTCTCCTGAACTGGTGCAAACCGGAAGCAACCCATCACTGATGTAAAATGGCACACACACACACACACACAGACACACACAGACACACACACACACACACACCATACTCCCACTCACATAATAGTAGAAAACACAGCCATACATTTCTTTTGGCCAAAGTAGAAAAGTATCTGTTAACAAATTTAATACAGAAACAGCAATATGTAACTGGGATAACCTTTCTTTCAAGGTGTAAATCAATCTTTTTAAAACTTACTATAAGTGTGCCACTCTTTGAAAAGAGCATTAGTCACATGATTTAAAGCAGGTTTAATCAGTGGTGAAATCTAAAATTTGTTACTATCAGTTCTGTGGGCGTGGCTTGGGGGGGTAATGTGACTGGGTGGGCGTGACCAACGTTTTTTTTTTTTTTTACTTTTAAAATCATTTTTTCTACAACCTCTTTGGCGAAGAGGTTGTTAAAAAATGCTTTTAAAAGGCTCTGACGATCCCAGGTGAGTTGCCTGATCGGCAGAGGCTTTTTTTCTTTTAAAAGCCTCTACCGATCAGGCAACTCAGCTGGGATCGTCAGAGGCTTTTAAAAGCATTTTTTCTATAACCTCTTCAGCCAAAGAGGTTGTAGAAAAAATGCTTTTAAAAGCCTCTGACGATCCCAGCTGAGCCGCGCGATCATCAGAGGGGTTTTTTTTTTACTTTTAAAAGCATTTTTTCTGCCGTAGAGGTTGTAGAAAAAATGCTTTTAAAAATAAAAAAAAAAGCCTCTGATGATCGCATGGCTTAGCTGGGCATGGGGGGGGGGGGCAGGGATTTTTGCTACCGGTTCTCCGAACCACCCATCTCCATCGCTACCGGATCGGGTGATCCCGTCCGAACCGGGAGCATTTCACCCCTGGGTTTAATGCTCTTCCAGAAAAATACTAGACACAGATTTATAAAGAGCCTAAATAATTAAGATGCCCAAAGAAGTCCTGTGGTGAGATGGGCGGCAAATAAATTTAATAACAAATAATACCTACTGCGTTTCCCTGAAAATAAGACACTGTCTTATATTTTTTTGAACCCTGAAATAAGCACTTGGCCTTATTGCCATGCACTCAAAAGTCCAATTGGGCTTATTATCAGGGGATGTCTTATTTTGGGGAAAACAGGGTATATGGTTCTTTGTGAAGCCAGTATATATGTATCACATTTGTATAGTTGCCCTCTTCACATAATGACGCTATCTTTTATATAGCCTGCCCAAAATAATTTTAAATAGCTATGCCAAGTGATTTGAGGGCACGTCAGCAACATCAAAAAGAGGTCAGTGTTTCCAGCATCGTAAATGAGGTGTTTCAGGATATTCCGAAAACAAGAGTTGTGCTGAATAAACAGGAATGGCTAAAGATCAGTCCACATGCTGGCTATAAATGAGACATGTATTCCATACATTCATGGAATCCAAGTGTGGTGCAGAGTCTTTGTGAGATACTTGGAGAAAGGTCTTGCTCAATGATCTGGAAACAGTTTGATCCTGTTGAACCTTAAGGAAGTGTACAGGGTCCTCAGTGCTGTCAATGCAACCACCTTTCAATCGGGCCTTTGTTCCTCATGTTTGGTAAAATCTTCCAGGACAGTGAACAGCAGGGTTAATGCAGTGATAAATTCCTCACTGCAAGAGGAGACATTCCCAGCACCTTTTAAGGAGGCCCTGATTTGCCCTCTCCTAAAAAAAAATGATTCCACCTGCCTGGACAATTTTTGTCCATTCACCCATCTTTCCTTTTTAGGGAAGGTGATAGAAAAGGTCGTTGCTTAGCAGCTTCAGATGATCCTGGGTGAAACAGATTTCCTAAACCATTTTCAGTCAGGTTTCAGGCCCAGTTATGGGACAAATCATCCATTGGTTGCACTTATGGATAATCTCTGGCAAGGGCAGAATGGTAGTAGTACAGCTATCCTGGTTCTCCTTGATCTCTCAGCAGCTTTCCATACTATTGATCATGATGACCTTTGTGGCCAGCTGAATTTAGAGCTGGGTGGCACAGTTCTGCACTGGTTTAGCTTCTTTCTCCAAGCCGCTCCAAATCAGTACCGATAGGGAGTAAGAGATCCAGCCCTCGGCCAGGCTCTTATGGCATACTGCAGGACTCAGTACACGCTCCACTCCTGTTTAACTACACGAAGTCGCTGGGTAAGATCATCCATCACCATGGGTTGAGAGGTCATCAATATACTGATTTCAACTTTACATCTCCACATGTGGTGATCCGAGCGATGCTGTCGGTACCCTCTTACAGTGTCTGGAACCTGTAGGGGCTGGATGGAGGGCAATGGACTACGACTGAACCCTGGCAAGTCTGAGAGGCTTTGGGTGCATAGAGCTTCAAGATCCAGCTTTGGATATCTTTAGTTCTGGACAGGTCCAGTTCGTATTTTAGGGACTGTCCTGGATTTGTGACTTCTGCTGTAAGAACAGGTGATGGTAATGACTAAGAGATCCTTTGCACACCTTTGGTTTGGGCATCGTTGTGGCCTTTCCTGGCTCAGAACTCCCTTGTCTCAGTCACTCAAGTCCTAGTCGTCTCTGATCTGGATTACTGCAATTCACTTTACATGGCGCACCCCTTAAAATGCATTAGAAAGCTTCAACTGATACGAAGTGCAGCAGCATGAGCAGTCTTTGGGGCCCATAGAATGACAACACTGCTTCACAAGCTGCATTGGCTGCTAGTTTGCTTCCCAGTGCAATTCAAGGTATTGGTCATGACCTTTAAATCCCTCCATGGCATAGCTCCAGAATACTTGACGAACCGTCTCATCCCACTAAGGCAAGCCTGCCCTACTCATGCCAGCAGAAAAGGTCTGTTGAAGATCCCATCATTCAAGAAACTCCAACTGGCAGAATTGAGGAGAAGAGTCTTTGCTGTTGTAGTGCTGGTCCAGGATAAGGTTTGCCGCCCTCCTCCTATCCTCTGCAGGATAGAAGACCTCAAGACCTGGTTCTGCTGTTTGGCCTAGGGATCCAGTAGGAGAATACCACACTGGATGTGGTTGCTGGACTAATTAACTGATCCCATCCCCCACCCCATGCTTTCTACCCTCCCTCTTCCCATCTTTTAATTCATATTATTGTGTTTTCATTGTTTATTTTTTTTTGTTTCGTTGCTTTGTTATTGTTATATTTACATTTTTTATCTTCCCCCCCCCCCCGTTTTCCTGTTGTAAGTTGCCTAGAGTAGCCCCACAGCGAAATGAGCGGCAAGTAAATTTAACAAATAAATAAATAATAAATTCCAAATAAAGATTACCGGTGATTAGGTTTCTTTGTTTCATGATTTGTAGAATACATGGATCAACTGAGCCTTGACTCAGTGATCTAACTGCTGTGAAGAGTCATAAGGTAAGGCATTCCTGTACTTTCTGTGCCGTGCATATATATAACAAACGTCAATATAAATAGTTTATACTTACCTATTAACCTTTGTGTCTTACTAGATGATACAAGAAAATAAAGCCTTACTAACACTAGAATAAAGTCTGAAGGTTGTCTGAAGTTGTTTGAAGGTTGAATCATTGCAATTGGACTAATTTT